AATGCAATTCTACGGATCTGCAAAGACGAGCATATTTGAATATAGATTGTGATTGCTCAGGACTCAGAGCTAGACGAAATGTATATTAAAAGAATTCAAACATACATTCTGTACATATTTCAAACGCCTGGGGGCTTAATTAAAAACGTTAAAAATAAACAAATATATTACGCGTTTTAAACCGTTAACTCTTTTATTTAATCAATACATCGAATTAATCCAAAATTTTACAATCAGTTTCTGAAAGAAGAACGAATCGTATCTATACGATCTGTATTTTTCAATCTAACCGATGACTTTTCGAAATTTAAAAATGAACTATCATTCACATTGTTTTTTTTTTCTATAAACATTGGATTTATGAGCCATAAAAATATTGCTATACTTTGTTTCATATATATTGTATAACAGTATTAGATTATATTAGACGTATTAAAAATGTAAAGAAAACTATAAACTGCTTTAAAGTGACCATCTTTTATGAAACAATTATAGTATTTAATATTTATATTTCATCACAAGAATTTCGCTCTACTTTGAGTATTGGATCGTAAAACAAGAATGCTAGCTCATCAGAGTTTCTGTATAATATGTTCGACGCTTATATGTATAGACTAGTCAACATTCGATGGAGTGTTGTCTTAGAGACTTTCAGTAGTGACTAAAGTCTTGAAATTGCAACGACAAAGTTGGTCCAAAGGGTATTTGGAATGCATTAGCGGCCTCAAGCGAAACATTTGATACAGAGGACGTGGATACGCCATTAGATTGTCAAAGTGATATATTGTTTGTGAAAATCCTTTTTCTATACCGCCATACTTTTGTGCGTATCATTCACTGTTCGAATTACAGGCATTTAGTTTGACTAGGTTTTTGTGTCTGATGAAATTCTTATTTCTTCCGGCATCAAAATACAAAACGATACAATTTTGTGTTTTGATTCTATTCGTACAATCGTCCAATCAAGTGACTATTGCCGTTTTAATTGTTTTATAATAAAAAATAAACAGTACCTGGTCACCAGGACAGTAAAATAACGGCTATATTTAAAAATAACGCCATATATATCTAACCTTTAATATTTGAATTTAGAACAAAGAATTACTATTTTTATATTTGGAAACTCCGTTCCGAAAGTTAAGTGTAAATTTTTATAATAATGTCTCGTTAGACAACATCTTGTAGACGTGGTGCTACGACGTAGTATAGTCTACAATTTTTCTACAATATGCATAAAAGCTAAAGTAGCCATTAAAGATTCAAGATAGCTTAACTTCTTTAAGTCACTTAACGTTTCACCTTTATCCATAGTCGGAGAGAGCTGAAGTTCGGATCGGATTCAATTTTCAAAGTTCTTAGCGAATACTAATTCGGAACTTTGCGAGCGGTAGCGATGAAAAGAAAATATGTAACTTTTCCAAGAGCACTTAATAAGTTTAATTATCTTAGAAATTTGACGTTTTTTGGGAACTCTCGATTAGTTTGTTTGAGTACGTATTTTTCATCAATATTTTTTATCTAAAAACTTCACTTGATGAGATAAATTTTACCCTGTATTTCAGGAAGGGATATTTCCGTTCTTGTCGATTTCATCTACTGACTGACAAGTATGGATTAACATACTGTGCCTTGCCCGACCTCTAATATATCTTTATCCCGGGATCCGAATCCAACGCAATTCTAGGCATACGTATAAAAATACAAACATGTGGTCTAATGGTAACTGTATAAAGGTTATTATAGCTGGGAATAGGCAAATTTTTGGCCTTGTGAAAATAAAAACAAATATCACTATGAAAGTAGACAAAATCTCTTGCCCAGGTACCAAACTTCAACTCACGGGAAAGGTATACAGACATATATCTCAAACATAACTGAACAATTTGGTACAAGTCTCAAATAGCTCCTATTAATATTATTTTTACTTACAAGTAGGTATTTTATACACGCAAATTATCAACTTGGACAATGGTTTGTTCTAAAATTTCGTAAATTAATGCTATTGCAAGGCAGCAAAGTAATAATTTAAAAATAATCGCTTCGTCGCTTTAACAAGTTATTCATTGATCAAATGAATTTTAATTTCATTCATTCTATTCGATTTCATTCAAACACTATTTAATTAAACTGCGCTATTTTTAAGTCTTTGTTTTTATTTATAATCTGTTATATAGGTTAAGTATTGATATTAAAATTGCAAATCAACTTGCACATCATTTTCCGTCGTATACGTTTTATAATTGTAGGGTTTCCGATTATTGACGTCAACTTCTAACTACTGTATTATCAGTAAAATTTATTTTTTCTTTGTTAACACGTGTTATATTATCTTTATAGAGAAGTTATAACGGTTGCTGTTGTTCACTTACTTAATTAATTCAAACAAAATTTGGCAAAATACTTTTAATTACGTTGCTTAAGTTACAGGACATGAATTGTGTCTCACTCGATCGAGAATAGACAATAGACTTATACGTCATATCAATTTTGACAGACTCAATATATCAAATTAACTTACAGACTAAACATATCGCCCCCCAAGGACCACCTAGGGTCCTTCAGTAGTGACATTCTAATGATTATATTACTCAATACCTATTTTAACAAACAAAATTAGTAACTTAACATATGATCTCTCTAACCTAGTCTTTACCTCACTAAATTTATCTATGCGTTTGGGACAAAAAAAAAACTTAATTAATTATCATCCAAGGGCAGAGGACATAGCTTTGTAACTGCTCTTTTAATAATAGTACCACCTCTCGTTTTCAACGATGCTACTCTTACTATTCCATCGGACCCTGGATGTATATGAACAATTCTACCCAAAAGCCATTTACAGGGAGGTAAGCGATCATCTTTGATTAAACAAATTGTATCTAAACGAATGTTTCTTTCTTTTGTTGACCACTTATGTCTTTGCTGTAAAGTAGTTAGGTATTCTGATTGCCATCTACGCCAAATACTTTGAACAATTTTTTGAATGGTTTGCCATCTATCCAGATAATGAGTTTTTTAACTGTCAAAATTACGCTTTTTGAAGAAGTATTTTTTGAGAACAGAAATTCTAACTTTTAACTTATAACCATTTCCAGAATAAACTAAATGTATATAAGATTAACGATATAAACCTCAAAAGTATTATTTACTTAGACAGTTTTCGAGATCAATTTTAACATGAAAAAATATTGTATATGTGGTAAATGATCTGAAATAAAAAATCTTCTTTTAATCCGAAATAGTTAAAATTATACGTGAAAAATATTATATTACAACATATACACGTGTCATAATGTTTATGCAATTAAAATATTGTCTGCTAAACGGATTGCAAAGCTTTAGTGGATTCAAGGCGAGAAACCCACCAAGTAGCGATAAATACTCTGCCATTTATTTTCCCTTTTCGTTTATATCATTATATATTGAGTCGAACATTTACATAGTTAATTATCACAATTATAGTTCGCACTTATCACTTCCCGACTTCAAATCTACTTGTTTTTACTACTTATATTGGTTATTTACTGAAAATATAGTTGGTTAAACGCGTTATACTATAGTGTTGTGTAATATTAGGTTCTAATTCCAGACAAAGACAAATAGTTTCAGACGATGAAGTTGTTGTGAAACGTAAATCAGAAATATGTCCCATGTGGAGACAGGGATTGTTAAAAGTGAAAAAACGATAATTAACCAAGAAAATTATAATATTTATGTGATAACTGTATCAGACAGTTATTGTCTGATTATTGAATGTATAACCGAAAAGAGTAACAAAACAATCGGTTTATAACTGTGGTCATTTTTCCTATCACTCTGCATTATGTTGTTTATTTTAAGGGACGCCATAGAAATATCGAAGGTTTAAAATTGCACACAATGTAACGCTGTTTAATAGTAATCCACTTCACAGATAACGGTTTTTCAAAGGCTTTGTAAATAATATTATTCAGAAATACGTCCATATTTTTACCGTAAATATACATTAATATGTTATAAACCTTAATTCAAAAAAATATACATTTTTGTAAAATTAACTACAAATGAACCGATTTGGTTTAAAATTGGGGAGGTAGTTAAGACTATGTCGTGTGACGTAACGTTAAACTTCAAAAAGAATATAAGTCAATATAAAACATAAACTCATCGATATGTAATAGAACAATTGTATTTGTAAAGGAAGAAGTAATTTAAATTTATTGTATTTATTTCTGCCAGGTTTTACGATGAATAAGACAAAATTAAAGCCTATTCCTGTAATTACCTTTATTTCCAGGCGAGGCGCAGTTACTTTTATTTGAAGGTGATTTTGTTTCAGCTGCAGCCATTTTCTCCTTTCCAGACGACATGCTCTTGCGCAATCAGCCGTTCACGTTTTCCACGGATTTTACGCGGCAGCTGTCATTACTATCAAAACGATGTCTTTATTTGCACCAATCGCTCCCATGACAAAAGGTATAATGAATTATGAAATAGGATTGATGCTCTTGTATGGGTTTTAAGTTTTAGGTCCGTTTTAATAGCTATTTTACGTACGTGGTATAAGATACGTTTCTGCTAAATTGTTAGTAAATGTTCAATTACTAAATTGCTAGGTAAAACAAAATGGAATCAATGGAACGGAATAATAATTCAAACTTTAATCTTTTTAATTTAATTTAATATTTAGTAAAATGAATACTTAGTAATCCTGCACAAAGGAGTTGTTACAATAGATTTTGTTTAATAACAATCTAGATTCATATTAAGCGCGGTATCAAATTAGTTTCACTAATCCACTACCAACTTTACTATCATTTTACTTTTAAAAGAATGATATGAATGCAAAAAATTAAATTGAACTTTCAAAATATATGTTTTGGTTTTACTATAGTATTCTACATGTATAAAAATGATGATGTAACAAATGATAGTTTAATTACAAGATTGGAGATAAAACAACGGATTGAGGTACTTGAAGAATTAAAACAATGAGCTGATGATTGGAATGTTTAATGATAATGATACAAGTATTGCATTCATTCGTAACTCATGCAAATGTCCAGAGTACAGAGCGCCTCTATATCACTCAAAAACCCACTTCATTCTTGGCGCTCGGAGGCACTCTGTACACCAGGTGACTGCGGCTGAATTGAACGAGATGAGGGCGAGGGAAAATGAGCTCTACGCGCACTGACTAGAATGCAAATTTGAATCACACGTCTCAGGCGCGAAAGCCCACATGATATGATCGTAGCGAAAGTGGAGGTCATGCAATATAGTCCAGTCGAAACCTGCGGGCACCGGTTACGTAAGCGCGGCGAGCTGCACCTGGGAGCGATTGTCGTGCGGACGTTTCGCGCGTGCGTTGCGCGTTTATAGCGCGCTCGTTCCTATCTCGCGGGAGGAATCGATGCGGGCGGCGGGCGGCAGCGGAGTGCTGCACCGGGAGGCTGCGCGGCCCCCGCCCCGGCGTCCCGCGGCCCGCGCCCCAGCCCCGGGGACCGCGCAAGCGCCTGCAGCTCGCCGGCCCGCCGCCCGCGAGACGCCGCGCTACAGACTAAGCGCATATTATCCGACGTATAAGATAAGCCAATGTCACACTCGCGCATAACTACTCGCCTGGACATAATTGTTATTAATTACACTTTGTGCAATATGAACCGAATTTTTGAATTTTGAGGGTTGCGGCGCGTAATTTTAAAATTTCCTATTACCAAATGTGCTTATTTGTATTTGCCTCGTTCATCTAGTGATTCGTTTACTGGACTGCAAATTATGAGATCCAATATTAAAATCCCGAATAGAATTTTTTTTTTCTATTTCGACATTTTTTTTAATTACTAGTACTCTGTACCTCAAAGACCTATTAGGACTCAATGTAAGCCATTGGCTTTGGTTGTTATCACTAATCTAGTAGCGCTATTCATTAAATACCACAAACCCGCTCTGGACTAACATGGTGGGGTCTTAATTTTTGAAGGAAAACAAACGTCTGAAATGTATTCATGTAAAACAGCTTCAAGATGTTTCTGCATCTTTCTTTATATCTGTAAGCCATTTTCTGAGCAAATACTACAGTAACAATAAATTACTATTAGCTCCATACACAATTTTCTGTAAAAAAGCATTTTAATCTCTGTACCATTTCCATTTAAAAAGCATAAACTTAATTTGAGTTATTCTCTGGTCGAGTGTTATCTGTGGCCAACGTTCCCCCCTCCCGCTACTGATTTACGATACTACAACTCTTATATCTGCTTATCTGAACTAAAATTCAGAAGTTACAAGAGTTGCACACATTGGGTCAAATAATTTTAAATTGTTTAAAACAGAAACGTTAATTGTGTTTGTTAAGGTTTGGAATGTCAAAGACTATCTGTAGTTTACGCGAGTAGTATGCATTTAAATAAAACTATTTTAACGGCTTAAAACGTATTAGTTAAATTTATATATTACAGCTCGACGGTGAAATCGTTGTGTTTTTTTAAATGTTTTGAATGGTTTTCAAAAGCCATGGTTAACTAAGTACATCTGTATATGTTTATCTACACTATATGTGTAGTTTGACCGCTCCCATGGCTCAGTGGTTAATAAGGGATTCGAATATTATAGGATATGTTTTCCATCGGTCACAGATATTTAAAATTAATTAGTGATCAGTGACATAGGGACTACTATTATAAAGCTGGAGAGTTCGTTTGTGTGTTTTCATGTTTGAATTGAAATATTTTTTGCGAGTTGGTTAGAGAATTTATCGAGGAAGTCTCTAGGATATAAAACACCAGGCTACGACTAATAGGAGCCAATTACAGTGGGAAATGTTGAAAAAACGGGGAACATTATTCATATTTGAGTGGTTCCGTTCTATGTGCTAAAAAAACAAAAAATATGTATAACATAATTATTCTAGTTTAAATAATCTAAAATCGTGTTTTATTTAAGATTTACTTACAAGAACAGTTTTTATGGTAATCAAAATTTGGTCAACATTTATCAGGTATAGTGTTTAAATAAAACACTAACGGTTTAAAACGCGATATATATAAGTTAAAGTTATTTGAAAATTATTTTAACTACGGTCCGACGTTTCGGATGCTTTGCATCAGCTGTGGTCACGGGGAGACTAAATATGGAGGGTGTCTCTGACGTCAAAGTAAAAACTGCTACGCTAGCGCCTTATGTTCCGCCGAAGTTGGTATTTGGCGAAACTGGCCGGGTCCTTGCAGAATTAGCTAGCGGCTAGGATCACGGCTTCTCTAGGAGCTTTGGAGTTGTACAAATTTAATCCCAGGGCTCCCTCAAAGCACCATAGATGGCCGGTGGTGTGTTTAATCGTTTTGGTCAGCTATACGATTTACCACACTCTCCATGTCACACTTGCCCGACGTGGGCGTGCATAAGGCATTTACTCCATCAGTTTAAAAAAAAGAGGATCACGGCTGCTACGAAGTATCCGAAACGTCGTGGCCTTCTTAAAATCATTTTCAAATAAATATATTGAGCTTTAAGCCGTTAAAATCTAACTTGCGTAAACTACTAACAGTATTTCGATCTAGTATTTAGTAATTTTTCATTTGTGTGTTGTATTAGTGAAATTTTAAACTGCCGCTCAATTTGCCTCCGGATAAAGCTTGATTTTGACCTATTTTCGGACCATTGTTGTATCCGCAACGTCATCGAATTTACTCGTGTCAGTGACGATGCGAAATTATGATATTTAAGCGTCATAATGTCAGAAGGCGGAAAATAACCTGACTTTATCTTCCACTTCCACTAGCTTGTTACCCCGGTGTTTCATATTTTATAAAAAATCACTTTACTTTACACGTCGTACACATTTATGTAACAGTTTCGTTTTAAACGCAATATATATTACTTAATCATTTTTATCTGTCCCTACCATCGCACAAATGTCGGGTTGTTTGCCATTTTAAATAATTTATTTCGCGTCTTAAACCGTTTTAATTATTTTAATAGTACATTATGATATAAATAAATAAATGCGGTAAGGTGAAAATTACAGCCCAGGAGATTTTTTTCCCCCCCCCCCCCCCCCCGGGCCCGCTTTCCGCCCCGGGGGTTTTTTTTTCCCCCCCCGGCCGGGGGAGTATTAAGTATTAAGTAATAAGAAAGCAGAGGCTGTAATTTTCTAAGCGCACGTATGTCATACGATTTTTTTATAACATATTTACGAGGAAATTAATAAATTCATCACTACTTGACGATATTTTTTTTTTTAAATAAAAACAATACACGAAAAGAGAAACCGCGGAATTATTTTTACTTGTCCACAAATAAGCGCCGCCCAGGCGCGCGCATCAACTTTTTGCGCGCGCATCAACTTTTTTTTGGGAAATTTTCAAAGAGGGTACAAAAACAGCCAGTATTACTAAAAAAGTAAATTTATATTTTTGTGTTTTTGTTATAGACGGTTGTAATTTATTGTCAAAATTAAATGTTTATTTGTTATATTTTATTTCCCAAAGTTAATTTTATTCATAAGCTATTGACCACTTTCTTGACATAAAACCTCTTTGCTAAGATTTTTAAAAGTACCTATCGTTCATTTTTAGACGGAGTATCTTAAAACTTTATTTAAAAAACACACGTGCCTTTTACATTACATTATCGCACATGTACGTAATGAGATACATTACGATATTGAAATTTGTGTGATTACAACCACTTTTCGAGCAAATATGTTATAAAAATATTACTTAACAATAGTTTCAGTCTTTAGTGAAGTCGAAAATTCGATCCCGGTTGTGTACAAATAAAATAATTGCGTATGATATTGACTTTTTGAGTTTATATGAAATAAATAGATAGGTTATATATAAATTTAGCGAAGAGTCTTCGGGCTGTAATTATTAAAATAAATTAAGAAAAAATAAAACAATAATCTCAAAAAGGTTTCTACGAATCTATGCGTTGGATTGTTGGAAAATATAATTGATGATCGTTATTAAAAAGACACGGAGAATAAAATAATAATTAGAGTAAACGTCCCTTATAATGCCGGAGTTTGTAACCGACATAACGCGAGACTATAATTTCGCTGGCAGGGTCCTATCTTGATGTCCCGAATTATTATCACAAGGCCTCTGACGTACTCAACAAGATAACAGTGAACTGTTTCTTAAGACCATCTACCTTGAGAGTAAAGGGACAGTTACCGAAAAGTTTTCTTACCTTCGAACTTATGGAATAAAAGTCTTATAGCACTTTCGTTTACTGGAGGTCGTCAACGCGTAATACTCAGATGTTTTTTATCGTGAGTTACTGGTCACAAAATATGCCAGATATTTATTTTATTTTGTTATTAAACGTCATGTTTCCGATACATAGAAAACTGCTACTGAGAGAACAAAAGTTATATTCTTACTACTAAGCTAAAATATAAATACTGTTAAACACTTTTAACTGTTTAAAACGCAAAATGAACTGTATTAAATAACTTATTTCTAGCCAGTTTGGCTAAATACGACTACGACAAAATAGATGGCGCTATCTTAGCAGTTTTTACTTTGAAATTAGGGACACCCTCCATATTCAGTCCCCCCATAACTACGGCTGATGCAAAGCATCCGAAACGTTGAGCCGTATTTAAAATAAATTGTTAATAAGTTAACGAATATATTTCCCGTTTTAAACCGTTAAAAGATTAATTTATCCATTTAATGAAATTAACAGTTACTTTTCAGGCATAAAGTTGAAGCCGTTAAAACGTTTCAAATTATAGATACAGTAGAAGTTAGATGCGGACTGAGAAAGTTAAATTGTTGGTCGTTAACTTTAACGTACTTTCAGGTATAAATCAGCAAATTGACAATACACCTGCGGCCGTTTCGCATTTATAATCCGTCATTGTGGTTGCATTATTCAGCCTGAAAGTATTCAGTTATTTTAGGCCTGTGATGGCTTCGACCACAGATCGAATATAGAACAATAGTTCCAGTGTTTATGAATGAACTTCTAAAATTGCACTACTGTCACTAGCGAAAATGCGATATGTTTTAAAATGATGAAATTGTCGAAATTTATCTCTTAGTGTATGTATTCTTGAACTAAAATTTCTTAATGATCTCTTACTTATGGGAAAAAATAAAACCTTTTAGGCTTACCAGTTTTCTATATCTCAACTATGTAAAAATGTAGACAACATACACAGTACACGGAATGGCATATTCTGATTACGCCGTATTTTATTTCTTTCAATATGTCAAAGTACGCCGTAAACAGGGCTATGTTATACCGAACAAGTAATAGAAACAGTTTTCTTATAAACCGAAAACATATAATATATTAAATCATTTATCATTTAAAGATTAGTAAATCTATTTAAAGTTTATTTGAAAAATACTGATTTGATAAAACTTGCGAATATACTGTCTGTAGTTTACGCGAGTAGTACACATTTAAATAAAACAACCTTAACTGTTTAAAACGCTTTATATATTACGCAATATATACTAGTTAATCTTTAACTAGTATATATCGGGTTTTAAACCATTAAAATGTTTTATTTAAACTAAGAACATGCTAATAGTAAAATGTGTTATTAAAAGGTTTATTTCATCTTTATTAAAAAGACATAGAGAGATAAATAAATTTGATCGTTACTAGA